ACTTCCCCTTCTGGGCCCATCTATGGTACTTACCCGACATAAAGACATGGTGTGCGGAAAAGTGGGATATGATAAATTAGTACCACAACTGGACATTGCCAGCATAGTGCGAAACGAAGACAGCGCAGTAATTTTAAGTGGTCATATAAAGGTACCTGATTTGAATGCAAATAGCTAATAGCATTAGCGAGTCTTAACATGACAGCAGCAGCTTCACGTTCTGAGAAATACTTTAAAGACATGATCGTACTCAACAGTTCACCACCCAGGCACAGCTCCTCCACCAAGTAGATGTCCAAGTTGTCCTCATATACATCGTAGAGTTTCACAATATTCGGATGATGCGAATAAAGCTTCAATATGTCAACCTCTTCTGTGGGATCACGCTTTCTTTTATCAATCACCTGAAAAATTATGGAGCAATTGATTAAGATGAAGAGGTAAATTTTTTAGATTTTGATGCCCAGTTTTGGAATTGCGTCTCTCAACCAATTAGATTTAACAACTTTTGAGACAGGAAAGCTGTTAGGTGGTTTGAGCCTGGCACGGGCGATTGCCGCAGCAATAAGTTCCTGCGATTTTCGCCTTGAAGAGATTTACCACTTACCAATATTGTGGAAACATAATTATTCATACCTTAACAGCAAATTCCGTGTGCGACTTTTTGTGTACACATCGCATGCGCACCGAAAATGCATCAGTACCGAGGTTCTGAAACATGCCTCAAATAATTTTTGCACATTTTTCGCTGTTCAGTATGTTGATTTATACATGTTCAAGAGCCCAAAAAAACTTTTATAAGCTAAAATTTTATTTGTAAAGTTGCTCACAGTAAAATGCTTTAATGGCCAAAGTTTGAACGGGATTTACACAACTAACAAACTAAAGAAAAATAACCGTTATCATCTAGTTAATAATTTTACCATAATTGTTATTACAATTAGAATCATTATTTCCGCTATTGCTACTTGTGTTATCGCTGGAATTAATATTGTTATCATCACTAATACTATTGTTATTAATTACTATCACTGCTCCTATTATTATTATTATTAAAATCATTTGACTGTTACAATTTCTATACTGGAAAACACCCCAAGGCCTGAAATCAGCAGGCTAGCTACGTTAATTACCATAACTTATCAACTTTGTGATGCGGCTAGTCTATCAAATAAGGCCCGCTTCC